TTTTAAATATTGGAGCTAGTTTGAGATTGATGCTGTTTCACGCATCTCAAAGCATTTTTAAATACTTAAAAATCATTATGACCATTTTTTATGATCAAGACATTATAACACAAAATTTTTCATAAGAAAAATAGATATTAAAAAAAAAACTGTAAAAAAGGCATATTTTGTTTGATTAGGAAAAATAAGTAAGGATATTTTGATGAAAAAATTACCAGTATTGATACGTCATCAAAAATAGTTTTGATCATGCACGAATCCTGAGGTATAATCAAGTAAAAAAAATTTAAATCATATGAATTCAAATTTCAACAAACTTATAGTCAAACTGAATGTCTCAAAGAGACGAAGCTAACAACACTAAAATTTGTCCAACCCGAGCCCCAATGGGTTCAAATCGGAAGATTGAACCACATTTGGAATGTTCAAAGCATTATTTGGATGATAAATTAATATTCAAATATTACTTGCTTATAGTCAAATCGAGCGGCTCGATGAGACAAATCCAATGAGTCTAAGATTGCTGAATTATGATATCGTCAAGACACTTAAATAGTTGAAAAACACTATATAATTGGGGTAATCAATACGGACCATCCGATTGAGCACTCTGACCCTGCCTAGATGTTCTCTATATTTATGAGGTGTGTCACTCGTGAAGATTTATAAATAGTCCGAGGAGGACCTTTGGGCTTTGGCTAGAGATTGGAAAAAGCTTCGAGGCTTGAAGAGCTCCAGCACCACCGCTCGACCGCCGATCGTCGCTGGTCTACAGGCCGACCATTGTTCGACCACTGCTTACCACTGACTTCCACCCAACTGCCAACCATCGCCGGGCTTCCACCTAGCTGCCAAATACCACCAGATTTTAGCCCGACCCTGATTGGACCAACGCCTTGTCGGCACCCGCCACCAGACTTCTACCCGGCCGCCGATCGCCCCTAGACTTCTACTCGGCCGCCGACTGCCGCCAGCCTTCAGCTAGATCATCGTTAGATCAAAGGCCGAACAACGACTGTCGCTAGACTTCCACATGGTCGTCGACCACCACCAGTATTCAGCTCGACTGACGTCAGACCATTGCCCGGCCGCCAACCGTCGACCGCCAAGGAACTTCAGCTCGACCGCCCTGTCGTCGTTGGACCACCGCCTAGCCGCCGACCTCCGTCGAACTTCCATCGAGACCGCTGATCCGCCGCAAGACTTCAGCCGGACCTCGTCAGATCCACTGCCCCAGGCCACCGACCGCCACCGAACTTAAGCCCGGCCTTTGTTGGATCATCCATGCCCGCCTCCGGATCTCACTCGACAGCCGAGCACTCATAAAATTCCGCCCGACCTTCGCCGATCATTCCCTTCCAGCTGAACTTCTGCCCGGACGCCGTCAACTTCCGCCTGACTATTATCAAACCTTTCACTACTCTCCAAACTACAATAATTTGACCGCCTCTAAGTCAAAGGACGAGTCAACCTTTTGTAATTCACTCAAATTTAGTTGAATCTTTTCACTAAGGTGAGGCCCCATGATTTTTTCCTCTTCATGGCTTTCCATATAAAAAAGATCGGTATTTTACTTCTCGCTATGTTTGATGCTGGATATCAGTGCATCGCTAAGGTAAACTGAAAAGTTTACCCACTCTCCGTCGCAAATATTCTAACCCGCAACAAGTATAATTAAAATTTTAACACAAATTTAATTGCATTTAAGAAAACCCTTGACCTTTTTAATGGAGGCTTAGGACGGAAGAGCTGATTACCCTAGAGACTCCAGCCAGCATGCCGACTGCCGCTTGCCCTGCATGAATGGTGAAATGCGTGATTTCTAGGAAGACGGAATGAAAGAAAGAAACGTAATGTTTTTTAGTTTGCTTAATTAATTGCATTATCATAAATAAATTAATTAAATATTAATTAAACATTACGCATCCAGCGAGACAAATTTAAAAATGATGTCCGTTCTTATTTATTAATTATTTTGGCTAAAACAAAATAAAAAATAGAAATGAAGCGGCTCTAACCGGGCAAATTCGCGTGGCAAAGGGTCTTCGGGCGCAGGTGAGACGGGTCGGATCTTAGACCTAGATTGATGCATCTGGGTTCAATAACGACTGATCAGGCAAACCGTTTAAAAGGAAATGACTTGTCTATTTTGCCAATTAAAAAAATAAAATCAGTAAATTTTATTATAGTAAAATAAATAAATTAAACTAATAAGTAAAAAATGGAAATTTATATTTTAGTAAAATTAATAAATGAAATTAATATATAACATGAGAAGTCGTTACTATTTAAACGACTTGCTCGTATAATATATTAATTTATTAATTTTATTATAATTTTATAAAAAATTTCCTTTTCTTTCTCTAAAAGTCAATTAATAAATTATATTTTAATAAAATTAATAAATTAGATTAGTGAATTATATTTTAGTAAAATAATAAATTAAATTAGTACATTTTATTATATTAAAATTAATAGATTAAATTGATACATTTTATTATAATAAAATTAAAAAATTAAATTAATATATTTTATGAGAAGTCGTTCACTATTTAAACGACTTGCTCATATAAAATATAAATTTATTAATTTTATTATAATTTATAAAAATTTGTCCGTTTCTTGCCCTACAAAGTCAAATTAAGAAATTATATTTTGGTAAAATCAATTAGTTAAATTAATAAATTATATTTTAGTAAAATTAATAAATTAAATTAGAATATTTTATTATAAATAAATTAATAAATTAAATTTACTATTTTATTACAGTAAAATTAATAATTTAAATTAATATATAATATGAGAAGCCGTTTATAAACGACTTGCTCATATAATATATTAATTTATTAATTTTAAAATAATTATTAAAATTTGTCATTTTCTACTCTACAAAGTCAATTAATAAATTATATTTTTAATAAAATTAATAAATTATATTTTAGTAAAATTAATAAATTATATTAGTACATTTATTATATTAAAGTAGTAAATTAAATTAATATGTAATATGAAAAGTTACCATTTAAAAGACTTCTCATATAATATATTAATTTATTAATTTTACTATAATTTTAATTTTGTTTAATTTATTAATTTCATTAATATATAATATAATAATTTAATTTATTATTTTAATTTGTTAATTTTACTTTGAAATAATTTGCTAATTTAAAGTATTTGTTTAACTTTTAATTTTTACTAATATATAATTTACTAATTAATTTTTTAAATTTACTGATTTTATTTTTCAATGGGCAAAATGTTAAGTCGTTTCCTTTTTATAATCAATCGCATAATTGATTATAATGAATTATTCAATTAAATAATCAATATCCTTCAAAAGAACCAAATTAAATTATCAATTGCATAATTGACAAAATCCATCTGAGAGGACAATGTCCTTAAGATGACAATGTCCTTCAAATTGTCGTATTTATAAATTACGATGCATCAATATTTTATAATAATGAATTGTTGTGTCCTGAAATATTCACAGCGGGAGGGAGAAAGAGAAGAGAAAATTTTGGGAGTTTCCTCTCTGTAGAAGTTCTTCCTGACCACTGTCTTAGTTCATCAGTTTGTCAATCACCTACGGTCCTTTCGACCACCGTCGCCTACCGACTATAGTCCTTCAAATAGCCTTCACCCAACAACTATCCTTTTGACCTCCGCCGCCTAACAACGATCTTTCTGACCTTCGTCACCTGACAGCGATCTTTCTGACCTCCACTGCCCACCGACTACGGTCCTTCCGATCTATGTTGCTAGACAACGGTCTTTCCAACATTCATCGCATGATAATGGTATTTCTGATCTCCGTCGTAAACTACGATCTTTCCGACTTCCATTGCCCGCCAACTTATACAGTCATTCTGACCTCCATTGTCAGACTATGATATTTTTTACCTCCGTTGCCTGCCCATTACGATCCTTCTAACCTCCATCATTTGAAAACGGTCCTTCTGACCTTCGTCGAATGCCTAATATGGTCTTTCGGACCTCCAACGTCTGACAACAGTCTTTCTGACTTCCGTTGCTCACAATTATGATTTTTCTGACAACCTTTGCTTGACTATGATCTTTTTTGGCCTTTGTCATTTGTCGACTATGGTCATGCAGCCCAAACGAACATATTAACTCTGATTCTTGAACCTCCCACCATATAATGCACTCTATATATGTACATTTGCTATATTGGGCCAACTCATTCTTCCTAAGGGCCTCATTTGTAATCAATTGCAAACACTAGCGGATTCATTCAAACTAGGACATGCCTCGTGGTTTTTCTCCTTTTCAGTGGTTTCCACATAAAAATTATGATGTATCTTATAAATGTTATAACAATGCTCTCTTATCTATTTATGTGTTGAATCTTCGTACAAAGCTAAGACATTAAACTATATCACTCTCTACAGTCGTGCATATTTCAGGACGTAACATGAATCATGTTATATCAATCATATATATCACATATATGCACATGCATAACATGAATGCACATTAACATTAAAAAAGGTAAATTTTAACTAATTATTTGTAAGCTATGATGCAAATACAGATATATGGACTTGCCCAACATGTCTATAAGTGTAATTAAAAAAAAAAAAAAAAACTGATACATGTTTTTATTAAAAAAAATCATATTATAATAGAGTGCCTATTTTTTTTAATAATAGAAATAGTATTTATACTGTATCATATCTTATTCCCTACGGCTGCATCAAATTTCTTGAATAAGTAATGAAAACTTAATTACTTTGCTGTCAGCTTAGCTATTACTCCTATTAGTTTACGTTACTAATTAATGAAACGCACACGTTGACTGACGGAAATACTTGTCTGGACTTTCAGAAGGAGTGAGAAAGCCGTCCCAAATTAAGCCTCAGACTTGATATGACTATTTAAATATTATATTTAATTTAAAATTTATTCAAAACTTTTAAAATTTATCCTGATTTTAGCCTCTAGAAACCACAAATTTCTCTCTACCCTTCCTATTTATAACCATCCACTCTCCACGCCAAATCCACAGAAGAGAGAGCAATAAGAGAGAGAGAGAAGATGACAGGCTTCACTGCAGAGAACACCAATGGTTTCCACGCCGGAGAGAAGGGAGGCGCCGGACAGAAAACGGCCGGCGAAGTTATCAAATGCAAAGGTAATTAATAATTTGCATATTAATCATTTCTATAAAACAGTGTTTTAGTGGAGGAAAAAAACTGTTAATTAAAAAATGATGCTTTTGGTTAATTAGCGGCCGTGGTTTGGGGTCCGGGAGAGGCCTTCAAGATCGAGGAAATAGAGGTGGAGCCTCCTCAGCGTTTGGAAGTCCGGCTTCGAATCCTCTTCACCTCAATATGCCACACCGACCTCAACGCTTGGCAGGGCGAGGTATTATCAAAGCTTATTCTATTCTTTTATTTTAGGATTTATACGGAATAGTTCTTTTTTCCAACAAAAAAAAAATTATTATTTTATTTTTAGGATCATATCAATATTTTTTCCACTGTTTTTCCAATTATTTTGGACTTCTACAGCAGCTTTTTAAAAAGTTATTTTTCGATCTTACACATGAGAAATTATTATGTGCGGACACCGGACGCAGCTTTATGTCTGAATGTCACAGTACCGCTTCCTGTACCGAGCGTAGTACCAAGCAATACCGAGTCATGGTACAATAAAAAGAATGACTTGGTGCATTTTTATTGATCTTCGGACGACGCTTGGTATCCGCATAGAATAATATTTCTTCCAGATCTTAATAAAAAAAAGTTTTAATTGTATGTTTATTAATTTTATTTGTATTTATTTAAATCACTTATAATGAAAGAAATCTTATTAGGAGATGATTATTACGGTTGATTTTATGATTTAAGAGTATAATTCATAAAAATTTACCATAATCATTTAAGAAATTAATTATTGAATTTTTTTAATTTATCTACTTTATCTAATATAAATCCAATCTATTATCGCAGAACAAGCTGCAGCAGATATTCCCTCGTGTCCTGGGCCACGAGGCCGCAGGGTAAATAATTTATATTATCATTAGCTGCTCTAATCTTCTCTATTATTGATAATTAAATTGCTAATCAATTTACTAATTAATTGATAGTGTGGTGGAGAGCGTAGGGGAAGCAGTGGAGGAACTGAAAGCCGGTGATCGGGTGGTGCCGGTCTTCACCGGCGAATGTGGATATTGTGCCGCGTGCCGGTCGGAGAAGACCAATCTATGCGTCGGTTATGCGGTGGACCCTATGCGGAGCGTGATGAGGGCCGACGGTCGGGTCAGGTTGTTTTGGGTCGGACCTGATGGTGAACGACGACCTGTTTATCATTTTTTGAACACCTCAACCTTCGCCGAATACACGGTTATAGATTCTGCCTGTGTTGTTAAAGTCCCCGCCGATGCACCGCTCAGTCGCATGTGTCTTCTCAGCTGTGGCATTTCCACCGGTAAGTCAACTGAAATATTTCCCAAAAAAAAAGTCAACTGAAATATATATTGTCTGGTTAAATTAAGATATCTCATGTGTGTATCTTAGGATGAATTATTTTGTGCGGACACCTGATGGGGAGCATTATCCAGTTTGTCTCTATGAAGTTGCGCTTTTACTATTCACAGAGATAAAACTTGACTATTCTTCCCGTCCGATGTCCGCACAGAATAATCTTTTGTATCTTATGGGTGTTTGGTTACAAGCGGTGAGAATTTAAGGGAATTTTAACTCAATTTGGTTTGTTGGTTGAAAATTTTGATTACTAATCAAGAGGTTTTGTGTTGAATCTTACGTATGTGATGTGTTTGTGAGTTTGACTTAATTAGGTTAAATGTCCAAAAAAAAAAGAAGATATATAGGAGGCCGTTGATAGGACATAATATGTGTCGACGCGTAATTGAAGTCCATGTATTGATGAGAAGGTTGTGTAGAGGGGTAGTTCGTAGCGTTGTTATAGGCAGATGTTGCGAAGGCCATTAATGAAGGTCTTAAAGGTCTAGATTAGGAGAAATTATTCTGTTCGGAGTTCGAGCTGGAAGAATCGTCAATATATGTGAATGTATATGTATTGTACACAATGTGTACACTCACAGTCTGAATAATTGTTTCCGTACGGACTCCACACAGAATAATTTATCCTTAATTAGATGCCACCCATATGATTTTATATTAAATTTTAATTAAAGTGGAATTAATCCGAAAAAGGTTACCAAAAAAAATATCAATTAAAATTTATTTGATAGAGGAAAACTTTTACAAGTGCTTACCAAGTATAAAATTTGATTATATTTTTTATTAAATTAGTGATACAGCCGAGAGAAAATAATCATATTATATAATTATATCTTAGATATTTAATGCTTTTTATACATAATTACTTTTTTTTTTTAAATGCGTAGGACTTGGAGCGGCGTGGAATACGGCGAATGTCGAAGAAGGATCGAAGGTGGCAATCTTTGGACTCGGTGCGGTCGGTCTTGCTGTAAGCTTCCCTTCTATTAGAATATTAGGAAAAAAATGAAATTTTTATTATATTAATTGTAAAAGAAATTTAGTTATTTTGATAATTATTATTATCAAAATTTATTTTTTATTAAAATATTTTGATATAATTATATGTAAAAATGAAACGATAATTATTCAAGCATTCAAAATAAATAATATTTAATTATAACAGAGAATAGCATATAGATAATTTTTTTAAAAATTTTTTGAATAATTAACTTCTAATTATTTTTTATATGAATTGCATCATGCGATAATTTTTTTAACTACGAAATATTTTATGTTGTTTGGACTTTAGAGGCCTTAGAGGCCAATGCCTATTTGGTTTAAGTCATTATAAAGACTTATTGTATATTATTATTTAAGTTTTGTTTAGATAACTTTTTAAAAATTTTAAGCTCTTTTTTTAGGGTATATTTTGTCAAGTTTCTTACTTCTTTACTTTTTAGATTGTAATTGCAATTGCGTGGTTCTTATTTTTTTATTATTTTAAAGAAATATATGTGTTAAAAAAGATGTATTTTAAACAAATTTTAAATAAGTTATTTTTCCACAATAACATTACAATCATTTTTATAAAAAGCTATTGCCTTTCTAAACAAATTTTTAGGGTTCATTTTGGATGATTTTTCTACTACTTAAAACAATTTTATAAGACAAAATTTTTAACTTTTGTACTTAACAATTGTTTTAAGAATCAGTAACAAAGCCATCCCAAATCAAGCCTTACACTTTGTTTGGGTTGGCTTTCTTGATGCTTTTTAAAGCAGCTTTCTAGTATAATTTTTTTTTAGTAAAAAAATTTTAATTTATGTACTAAAATGTTGCTTTAAAAGGCATCAAGAAAGCCGTCCAAAACGATGTCTTAGGCTTTGTTTGGGACGGCTTTCTTATTGCTTCTTAAAGCAGTTTTTTAGTATAAATTTTTTATTTTTTTATTAAAAAGTTGTTTAAAGAAGCATAAAGAAAGCCGTCCCAAACAAAACCTTAGTCACAGATTTAAAAATGATTTTTTAAAAACAGTTTTTTGAAGACAAAAATTTTAAAAAGAGATGAAAAAGCTATCTTTTAAATACACATTATTTTTTCTTTACTAATTTTCTTATCACAACAAAAAAAAGTTGAAAAGTAAATGAATACCTGCGTCCAAAATATTTTTAACGCTAAGCTACGCGCGATATTATGAAGGTTGCCGAAGGAGCACGGCTGAGAGGAGCTGCTAACATCATTGGGGTAGACATTAACCCAAATAAATTTCTGAAAGGTACTTTACAATAAATAATGGTCAAATAGTACGTTTTATATTATTTCTCAAAAAGTTTGATGCGTCACTCATTTGTAGCCAAAAGATTAATATAATATATAATATATAATTTTAAAAATTTTTGTACTAAAAATTTATTTAAAAAATAGTAAATGACAAATTGGTAATTATTTTTTCTTTCAAAATATTTTTGCTAAGACGTTACTTTATAACTGTATTTATAAAAAAAATCTAGTTGTCCTAAATAAATCTTAAATATAATTATTTAATCATATTTTTTATCAAATTTGAAATTACATAAATACAAAATATGTAAAATTAAAGATATTTTCTGAAATTAAAATTTTTTTAAAAAATAATATTAAAAAAGTGAATTTAACTCAATTTTTTTTAAAATGAGATAACATTAATTAGATTTATTTAGAAAGAAAAAAAATGATTATGATACTCCCTTCAAATTTTGTTAGTATATAATTTTAAATCATTAAATATATCTTGAGATAATTTTTATATAATAAATAAATTAAGACTTTTATTACAATTAATAGTCTAAAAATAAATTCATTAAAACTTATAAATTTATTTGTTTGACTAATTACTTATTTTGATGTGTTCACACAGGACGAGAAATGGGCATCACAGATTTTATAAATCCAACGGATTACACAAAACCTTTACATGAGGTAACATAATTTATTTTTCTCTTTTTTTTTATTAGTTTGTGCTGTTTGAAAGAATTAAATGTTGAATTTTAAATACATATACAAAACGATATAGTTTTTTAAGAAAATTATCTAATTTTTCATAATAAGTTTATTATTTCAACCAACGCAAATGATCCCTAAAACCTTTTTGACAATTTTAGCAAAGCTCATAAAGATACTATCATGTCCTTTATTCAACTGCTACTAAGGACAGTGCTTCCTCGTCGATAAAAAAAAAAAAGTCTATAAGTCATTAATAGTATGAAGCTATGCAAGCTAATCGCAACTTATCTTAGGCTTCTTTTTTATTGTTTTGAAATCAGCTTTTAGTACGAAAAAATATACTAGAAGTTGTTTTAAGAAATTAATAAGAAATCGTCCACAAACGATGTCTTAATTGGGGTGATATTCTTTTAGCTTTCGTTTGGGATGGCTCTTTTGTTGCTTCTTAAAGCAGCTTTCTCAGCATAAAATTAAAATTTTGATAAAAAAGCTGCTTTAAAGAGTAGTAAGAAAGTCATCTCAATACAAAGCCTTGATATATTAGTTGGATGATTTGGTGTTATCAACTAAGAGGTTTTGTGTCGAGAACTTATTTATATATTGTGTCATAAGGTTTGTCTTAATTTGACATGTGTCCCCCTAAAAAGTACGAAGCTCATTAATTATTTTTATTGATATAATTAAGGCTTGTTTGGGACGGATTTTTTCTTGCTTTCTAAAACAACTTTTTAAATAATATATTTTGAATTTGAAAATTTGTACTAGAAAGCTTTTTATAAAGCGGTACGAAAGTTGTCCCAATATTTACTACACAATTTATCAAATAATAATTTTTTTTTAATAAATAAATTATAAATTATTATTTAAAATAACTTTTATTTACTTAGAAAATAATTTTTAACTGTAACGTCTAATGACTGATTAATGCACTGATTTAGGTGATAAGGGAGTTGACAAAAGGAGGAGTTGATTACAGCTTCGAGTGCTCTGGAAATCTGGAAGTTCTTCGCGAGGCGTTTCTATCCACTATCTGGTAATTTCTAATTTGAATAATAAGTTATATTTATCAAATAAATAAATATTTAAATATTAATTTATGATTATTATTTAGTGAGCTTATTTAATTTAGTGGACTCAATTTTTATATTATTTATCCACTAAAAATGAGAAAATATTTTCTTAAATGCATAATTTATATTTTTTTTTGGAAATCATAATTTATATTTCATTCTTTAAAATAAATATTAAATAGATTAGATGAAAATGAAGGATCAAATTAAAATGTTTTATTATATATTTAATATTTAAATATAAGATAAGCCTAAAAATGCTGACCCAACAATGTTTTATTATATATTTAGGGGTGTCAATTTTTGACACGACCTGACCCGATCAGGAAAAACCCGGGGTTTTTCCGGGTTTTGGAAAAAAACCCGAAACCTTAAAAGGTTTTTTTTTTTTTCCCCCCCCCACCAGAATTGAAAAAACCCGCACTTCGAAATTGATCCGAAAGGTGACACGAAAACTCATTTTAACCTGAAAACCTGAGATTGGCTCGTTTTGACCCGAAAACCCGAGTTTGACCCGATTTTCACCCGAAAACTACCAATTTTGGGTCAACCCCAGGTCATTCGTGTCGGGTCAGGTTGACCCAGACCTGAATCGGGTCGGGTTCAGGTCCAGAAACCTGACCTGTTTTTAAAAACGGGTCGAGTTAGGGTTGACCATAATAGTGCCGGGTCAGTTCCGGATTCGACCCGAACCCGACCCGTTGACCCGAATTGACACCCCTACCACTATTCTGAAGAAGGCCTCAAACCAATAAAAGTCATCTATTAATTAATTAACAATTCTCAATCATATAATATATTCTTTTGAAAACAGGCAAAAATATTAATAAAAAAAATAAATCTGTTTCATCACTTTACTATAAGGCCAATTGTAGTTTTCTTTGATGTATCACGTAGACTACTTATTTTACTTTATCACAAACGCAATAATTTTTTATGTTGGATTTCATAAATATGTTTTTTTTTTAACAAATGTTTAAGCTTCAATTGGGTGGCTTTTCTACAGCTTTTTAGTATAAAATTTTTTAGAACTGGAATTTTTTTACTGTAAAATTGACTTAGACTTCATTTGGAACAACTTTTTTATTGTTTTCTGAAACATCTTTCTAATACAAAAATTTTTTAGTTTAAGAAGTTTTTATACTAAAAAGTTGTTGTAAAAAACAATAAAAAAGTCATCCTAAACAAAGTCTTATGTTTCATTTGGGACGACTTTTTTTTTTGCTTTCTAAGCCAGTTTTCTAGTACAAAAATTTCATGACTAGAAAACCGTTTTAAAAAACAGTAAGAAAGTTGTCCCAAACGAAGCCTTATAAAGCATTAAGAAAGCGGCCTCAAAGATCTGGATGGGTTCATATCACATGAGCTTAACTATATACACTAATTATCAAATAATTTGTTCATTTATTTGATCTGCAACAATAGTGTTGGGGATTAACTGTGCTTCTGGGCGTCCACCCATCTCCTAAACTGCTACCTCTGCATCCCATGGAGCTCTTTGAAAGGAAGATAGTCGCTGCAGTGTTTGGGGACTTCAAAGCAAAGTCGCAGTTGCCTGAGTTAATCAGCAAGTGCATCAGTGGGGTGAGCATAAAGCATTTGCTCTTACGAAATTTTAATTATATGAACTATATTCATATGTAGAGAGTAAGGATTATAATTATTTTGCATTTGCAGGAGATTAAGATAAATCTGGATGGGTTCATATCACATGAGCTTCCCTTCTCTGAGATCAACCAAGCCTTTCAATTGCTGGCTGAGGGGAAGGCTTTGAGGTGTCTTTTGAAGCTTTGAGTTTATCTATGATTGGAGTAGAGAGAATTTTATTTTATATAATTAGGATATAAATAGTTCAAAGCTATGGTAAGTAGTTCTTCCTATTAGCAAATAATGTAAGGACCTGATCTTGGTTCTTGATTTAGCAACACCTTCTAACAGAGTATTTTATGTATTTAAAGGATATGTATTTGCTTTACTTTGGTGGATCAGTGAATGCACCACTTCTGTAAAATCTTCTTTGGATAAATTGTCATATTTTCTTGAAGTTTAGGGTGAGCCACCTATTAACGCATCTCTTCCGGATGAATATTCACCTATCAAAATAAGTGACATTCTATTTTATGTGAGTGCGTGCTAGATCTTTGTACAAAATTAAGAAGATAAATTTAATATTTTTCTACCGCTACGAATATTCTAGAACTCAACAATCAATATTAAACTAACTAAAGAAAATCATCCGGATTACCTCTCATTGTTGAAGACATAATATTTGATAAACATACTAATGGTTTGCCCATGGATTAGGTTCAGGCCAAATCCGGAATTGACCCCGCACTATTTGGGTCTACCTGAACAAGACCATTTTTTGCAAGCATGTCAATTTTACGAACCTGAACCTGAACTGCTTCAGGTTTGGGTCAACCCGATGGCGGGCGGCGACAGCGGCGTACGGGCGGGGTCAGCGAGATTGCACGACGGGCAGGCGAGTCAGCCTCGGGACGTGAATCGGACGCGAAGTGCGAACTGCTGGACGCGACGCAAAGTCGCCTTGGGACATGACGTGGGCTGCCGCGGTCACAGCGGGCATACTCGATCAGCTCGGGCTCCACTGGTCATTCCGGGTTTCTGGGTCAACCCGAACCCGACCCGGTTCGGGTTCGGGTCAACATGAACCCAAAACTTTCGGGTCTGATTTGGATCAAATTTTTTGGTCGTGTCAAATATTGACACCCCTATCATTTACTAAGCCTTTTAAAACCACGGTATGAACCAACCTTCAATCTACTGGCTTCAATGATTTCTATTTCTTATTATGCTGTAAAAACCTGAATCTAGCTGCTGATGCAACCCGTTAAGTTGCTATGAACCCATAACTTGACCCTTATTTGTCATTTAATGGGATGAGAGGATGTGTAAGAGCTTGATTCTCTAAGAGAATTTTGAGTAGAGAACGACAATCTGCTTCACATAGGGCCTCACTAAAACTAAGCCGTGGACAAATGCAAACTCCCTATGATCTGCTTCTTTGAAAGAGGCATTCTTTTTACCGAAGGATGTTGAACTTGGACGCAATGATTGTTACTCTGAACTCTCTTCTTAAGAAGGTGAATTGTAATATTGTGGATTGTTCTTCTGCTTGGTCCTCTTGAATCATTCAGAGATCCAAAGTCAAATTGCTCAGCAAAGGAGAAGATGATTTGAAACTCATGTACGTATGCTAAAATCAAGTTCAGACTGAATTATAGTAGAACCCTTTTGATTGTTGCTTCATCTAGATCCCCATCCAATGTAATAGCTTGTATTTTCATCTGGATCCCCTTCCATTAATGTAGTAGCTTGTATTTTGATCTGAGTAATAAATTTTCTTAGGAGTTATTTTAAGTAAAATTTAAAAATCATCTTCATCATAGCATTTATATTATATTTTTTTTTTGGACTGATGAAAATCCTTAAGAAATTGATACATGTTGGTACAAGTAAGAATTTTGAGACTGTCAAGTGTCCGTTTTGCAAACTAATTTCACCAGTATTTTAAATAAAATTTGTTATTTTATAAATATTTTTTTTTTATAAATTTTAAAATCCCAAATAAATCTATATGAATTTTCTATTACAAATTTAAAAAATTAAGTAATTATGTTAATATTATATTTTATTTATTATAAAATATCTTAAAGCATTAATACCTTATTCAATCATTTTTACTTTTAATTTCTTCATTTCGGTAAACAGAGAATGGGTTACCAAGAAATAAGAGAGAGAGGAGATAGAAAAGAAATCTTTGGATTTGGAGATAGTGGTGCAATTTTCGTATGTCTACCTTATTGGAGAATTTGTTTGTCTCACTATAAGAAATTGTTATCCTATTCCGATTTCAATAATTTTATGTTTTTGATATTTTTGATTAAATTTGTGTTTTCATTAACGAAAAACAAGAATAAGTTTCATTGGTAAAACTTTTATCGCATAATTTTTTGCATATAATAGATCTCGTCAACATGAATATTTTGACTGTATATAATGAATTTCACTTGTTAAATTGAAATATATGATTTTTAAAGAAAATTCATTGTATAATAATTTGATAGACTTTTCTATATTTATACATTTTTGCATTTCATACATGATATTTGTTTACATTACATAGAAAAAAGATAGCATTTACATGTACGTAAGGAAGACTGGCATTTAATACTATAATGAATATATTTTAGCTCTTAAAATATAATACACTGTATAGGTGGGTTGGCCAACGAGGTTTTTCTTTAAATAAAAGTTTGATGGTGTAATCCTAGTTATAGTATGTAACTGATTGACTTAATTACATCGACAAGTAGACGATAACGACTCTTAAATGATTATTAAAAGCACATGTGAAATTTGACGTATTGAGAGCTATGACATATAATATATGTACAGAAGAAAATACCACATTAAAACTGAATCTCATGTCATACTTTTCACAATTATACTCTTGATGATATTTACGTAATAGTACATTAAATTGCATTAATATTGATTGAGCATACTATATTATAGCTTGTATTTTGATCTAAGTAAATAAATTCTTTTAGGAGTCATTTTAAGCTAAATTTAAAAATTAACTTCATCATATCATTTATATTATATTATTTTAATTACTTTTTTTTTTTTGAAATTTTCAATCACTGGTGAAAATCTTTAAGAAATTGACACATGTCGGTACAAGTGAGAATTTTGAGACTATTAGGTGTTTGTTATGCAAACCAAATTATTGTTTGATTTGAAGTAAAATAAATGTAGTGTAAAGTTAAAAAAAGATGAAGGTCAGTGAGTGCCGGAGAAGTTGAGTGGCAGCAGTGGTGGCCGGCGGCGGTTGGTGGCGAAAAGAGGCGGATTGCAGTGGTGGTGGTGTTAGCCAGAAGTGAATGGCGTCGGTGGCCAACAATGGTCAACATTGGTGGTGGTCGACAATAAGTGGCAGTGACATTGGGGGGTGGCTGAGGTGATGGGCGGTTGGAGTGGAGGTGCTTGGCGATGGTGGGTAGTAACGGGAGTTGGCGGTCAAGTGTGCTTGCTTACGATGTAAATAGTTTTTTCTCAAAACTGAGCAAGTTTAGTTTACCTAAAAAATGAACTAAAATGATTTAAGATTTATTTACTTTACTTTGCATTTACTTTTCATCCAATCAAACATTAATATTTTCAAAAACCTAAGCATTTGCAATACTTTACACCCATTTTATTTCAAACCAAACAGCCCCTTAGCATATTTGTTTGATAGTTACAAATAATTTTACTGAAGATTCAAAATTAAATCTTCATGATTTTATTTTCGCTCACTTTATGCATCTAACACATTATTGGTTTTGCATATTTATAAGTACAAAATTCGTTTTTTTAAATAATATCAGCTCAAGTAATTAAAATATAGCAAATATTAATTTCATTATCAATATTTTATCTTAATAAACTTTATAAATACTGATTTTTTTAGATTGATATAGTCCATGTTTAATTAATAAAAGTTTCTATCATACTCAACTCAATATAAATTTTGTAAATATAAAAACTCCTACTAACTAATGATTCGTCTTACTGCTTATCAAAGCAATTTTTTAGTAAAAAAATTTATATTTTTACCTTAACAACTGTTTAAAAAATAATAAAAAAACGTCTTGAACGAATCCTAAATTTTGGGCAAAATATCCTAACTCCGATCTTTCCCATTTCAAAAATTATTAATTTAGCCTATCATAAAATAAATTTTGAATTAATTGCAAAGTGAGCATTTTTGCATCATATGTCTATATGTGCTACTTTCCTTTAGCGGAAAATTTTTATTTTAAAGAGGAAAATATATATTATAAAAATTTATTATATGCATTGATTTTTTTTATTTTTAAATTATAAAAATAGAGATTGTGTCATCTTATGTTGTCCATAACAAGCTAAATTTATAGTTTCCAAAGTACATGATAACAAAATTTATAATGGCTACTAAAACTAATTAGATTGTCCTTAAAATTGATGAACCTTAATAAAATCCTTATGTGATGCATGCTAGATTTATCTGAAGATCTTCGGCCGACATCTGATGTCTGTGGATTATCGGCCTCTTGTTTAAAGCAATCAAAGGTCCATTAGAAAGCCCAAGTAGGCCCAAATTTTGATATCTGTGAAGTCCAAGTGCACTATTGCTACAAAATCAAAAGTCTCATAATTAATATAAATAAGAATAATATGTAATTGGTGAATAAATAATTAGTTAAGCTAATTGATAATTAAATTAGAGTCTAATTATATTACCTAAATTATTAGTTATTGATAGTAATTAAAATTTGAATTAATAATAACTTATTAAAAACTAAAAATATAATTGTTGTGTATTGGAATATTTTCGACCGTAAAGAGATGTAGAGAGTTTAACGTCCAACTTTTGAACAAAAATCTAGCACACATACAGATAAAGAGAGAAGGGTGTAATATTTATAAGAGACAATAATTCTTACGTGGAAAACCTGAAAAAAAGTGAAAAAAATAGAAGGTCTTGCCATGTTAAAATGATTCTGCTAGTATTTCTCCTTGATTACAAATAACGCTCATCCTTAGAGCACATTACATGGTTGGAGTTGGAATAATCCAATGGCATGAGCATGTTCTTAAGAGATCATTGACTTATTTATTTGTTTGGCATGACCGTAGTTCAACGATAGTAGTCGAAGGGATCGTAGTTGGGTGACTGAGATCAGAGGGACCATAGTCAAACAACCATGGTCAGAATGACTATAGTCAGGCAATTGATGTTATATGATTATTGTCAGGCGACAATAGTTGGAGGGACCGTAGTTGGGAAATTATTGTCGGGGGGATCGTAGTTGGGCAACTTATATCAATGGGTCCATAGTCGATCAAGAGATGGTGGTCAGGGGAACTCTAGTCGGGGTGATGATGGTCGAAGGGATTGTAGTTGAGCAATGGTGATTCAAAGGACTATAGTTGGGTGACTGGAGGGCTATAATCGGATGCCACATAAATATGGAGAAGATCCGAGACAAATTCAAA